AGCCTCTAAAACAAAGCGAGGAACCGGTGTATTTGATAAGGCCATACTATAAGCTCGAAATATAGGAGACAGATCACCATAAGAAACATAAGCAGAGATCGGGTATAACATCCTGACGGTCTAACCATAACGAACAATTGGACGACGATCATACCACGAATAACGACGCCCTAAATCATCATCCTTTACTGATAATGTCTCATCAGGTAAAACAACTGGCTCAGTACCTGCAATTTCATCAATATTAACAATAGGTACATCAATATGCTCAGCGAACTGAGAAGTATTACTTGCATCGCCTGAGGTAGAGGGGACATTAGTAGGGGGATGAGAGCGACGACAACGAACATAAACCTGCAAAGGAAGAGAGACTGATGACTCTGTACTGACCGGGATGAGTGACTCTGGAGGAGGAGAGACTGATGACTCTGTAGTGATGGTGACCAATGGCTTTGGCTCAGGTGATAATGGAAAATCAAAGGGAGTATTATCAACAGGAGGGGTAGACACAATATTGGAAGAAAAATAAGGAATATGCTTAAAAAAAGGTAACATCTAGACTGTGATATATACGACGCCTAATAGGATTATAACACCGATATCCTTTAGATTGATGACAATATTCCACAAAGACACAACGAATCGCTTTATGATCAAGTTTATGACGAGTAGGAGATCGATCCTGAACAAAACATATGCATCCAAAAACACGAGGGGGGACCAGAAAAAGTGTCCGCTCAGGAAATAAGACCTGTAAGGGAGTCCTATGCTGAAGAACACGACTCGGCGTACGATTACACAAAAAGGTAGAAGTCAAAACAACAAAATGCCAATAAGATTTTGGTACTCCCATGTCTCTAAGCATACAATGTACCATTCTTATTAGACTCTTATTTTTCTTTTTAGCAATGCCATTTTGCTCAGGAGTATATGGATAAGTGAGTTGTTGAAGAATACTCTAAGAAGAAAGGTGAGACACTAAGACATCAGACATATTCTTTGGCATTATCCGAATGGAGAGTACGAACAATGACATCGAATTGTGTGTTAATCATCTGTAAAAACTGAGTGATTAGAGGGAGTACGTCGGACTTCCTATGCAAAAGGTAGACCTAAGTACAACGTGTATGATCATCTATAAATGTCATATAGTATTGAACACTTGATAAAGCAGTAACAGGAGATGGTCCCCCAATATCAGAGTGTATTAGGTCAAATGGCTTGGGTGACTGGTGCATGCGAGGAATATAACTGGTCCTAACATGTTTCGATAGAGAACATATAATACAGTCAAGTTTACCACCAACACAAGCATTGCTCAAAGTAGGAAACAACATACATAAATATTTAAAATTTGTATGTCCAAAATTGTCATGCCACAACTGAACAACTTGTGACAAAAAATTGTAACGACAACTACTAAGTAAAATATTAGCATGCAAGCTAGGAACAGATAAAGACAAAGCAGGTGCAAATGATGTAGGTGGAGGAATTGGTGAAACTGGAAGTGGATCGCCTAGATAATGTAGTCCATCTTTCTCATGTCCCCTAATAATAATCCTCTTGGTACTCAGGTCCTGTAAATAACACGAATCAGATTAGAACACAATCACACAGTAAAAATTTCTGGTTAATTGATGTACAGATAATAGATTCACGGCCAATTTTGGAGTATGAAAAATCAAATATAATGTAAAATCATCTGGGAGGCGGACTGTACCCCTACTAACAGTAGGGGTATGTGTCCTATTTGCTAACTGAACCTATGTATGTAATTGTTTGTCAAAAGTGAAGTGATGAGCCTCACCTGTCATGTAATCATTTGCACCCGAGTCCAGCATTCAAAGGGAGACAGACTGGCACCAGCATGAAAGGCATGAGGTATACCTGTAGTGGTGGCAGCAGCAGTAGTCAAACTCTGAGAAGTCAAAGCCGACATAAGTATAACCAATCGGGAAGTAATAACATCCATATCACTCTATTAAGGAGCAGTAACAGGAGTAGCGGTAGTAGGTGGTGGTACCTCAGCAATAGCAGCAGTACGGCTACGAGGAGGCGGCTTAAGCTCTGGATGGAACTTCCAGTAAGCAGTCCCGAGATGTCCTGGTTGCCACAATAATCACATTGATGAGAATCCCTCTGTCTGCGCTGATCTGAGGCACCCTGAAGACGCTGGTCCGAGTGTTGCCCACCCTTAACCAAGGATCCTGAACGAAACCCTATAGCAGCTACAAGGGTCATATGATTAGCCAAAGGAGTCAAGGTTACAACTGGAAGTGATACAATACGGATGCAACGCTCATATTGCTCAATCATCACATACACCTCATAAAGAAAAGGAAGTGTCAACATAGACAAGATTTGGGAATGAGGTCCCTCAAACTCATCATGAAGTCCCATAAGTAACTTGTGCATCCTATTCTCCTGCTCTCATGTATGCAAGAATGCTGCTCCCTCGGGTTTTATCCTCGGAATAGCAGCAAGAGGATGTAAAGTCTCATACTCAAGCCAACATGGGTCAAATAGCCATAATAATCCTGAACTGTTATATCTCCCTGTCGAGCATATAAGAGCTCTTGAGAAAGCTCATAAACACGTACTCCCCATCCTGTCTGGGAATGCATCTCTAATAATGCGCTCCATAACTTCAGAACAGAGTTATGAAATTGGTGAATCCTGCAAACAGATGGCTCTATCGAGCCAAATAACCATCCAATAATAGCGCAGTTCTTAGAAAACCACGCAGAATATCTAGGGTCGGCATCAGCTGACTTTGGGTGAGATCCTGTTAGCCAATCAAGATTTCCTACACAGCCTAAGAAAAGCTGGAATGAGCGAGACCACTCAGCGAAGTTACGATCATTCAACAACAGTGCCGTAATTTTCTGAAAAATCATGCTCGACAGTGCTGGTAATGTAACTGTGCCAGTAAGTACTGTATACTAGTTAAACATAAAAGTGAAAGTACCAATAGATGTCGCAATGGTAGAGGTGTCAACAGTAAGGGTCTTAAGTCCCTCAGTAGTAGCCATATCAACAACAATACTAGGACACTTGTGACAGAAAAACAACTAAGATAAATAGAGGGATAAAATAAGAGAGAACAATATACCTTCAGTCGAACAGTAGCGACAGATAAAAAGGGTCTAGAAAACTCCCAAATAATTAGGTTACGATGCCCAGAAATTCAATAAATATAAATAAATGATCTACTACATCAAGAGCATATCAACAGAGAAGATGATGCAATCCCTCCTAAAAAAGTCCTGGATACTGCAACCTGGCAGCACTATGACTAAGTGTGCGAAGGACGAAGTTACAACGAAAAAATGACTCGGCAATGGGTAGTGACCCAGGTTGGGTAGTGGGCGGGTCTGGGTTGGGCAGTGGGTAGTGTTGGTTGGGTTGATTGAGTGGATGGGCAGTCGGTTTATGCTGGGAGGGTGGTCGGTGATTTTAGGTGTGGAGTTGGGTTTGTTCTGGGCAGTCGGTGGGCATACTAACTTGGGTTTGTTCTGGGCAGTATGTTTTGGGTTTGGTTTGTCCTGGGCAGTATGTTCTGGGTTTGGTTTGTCGTTGGATGGTAGTTAATTGGTGCTTGTTGTTTGGCGGTGAGTTTCTGTTGTTATTGTTGTAGGCTGTCAGCGGTGCCTGATTTCAGCTGGTGTGTGGGCAGACGGTGAAGTGGTGGCTGTCGGTTGGAGTAGAGGCTGATGATTTTAGGTGTAGGCAGTTTGTTTATGTCTTTGTCTCGCTGGTTGCGATTATCGGTGGAGGTTAGGGTTAGGGTTGTTGGCTTTGATACCAACTTGAGATAAATATAAGTGAAAAAGATACAAATGAAGTGTAGAGCCCCCATATATATAGCCAATGAAAATTACAAAAAGAATAAAAAGGAAAAAAAAGGAAAAATTTAATAAACCCTAATAAATTAGGCTGCTATATCTCCAACATTAATAAATAAAAAATACCTAATAGATCAAAAAGAAAATTTTCAAGATGTTAGTGCAAGCCTAACTCCAAACAAAATATAAATCTTATGGAAATAACTAACAATCAGCAACCAGATAAAAACGTGAGTATGAGAGAATGAGAAAGGAATAGAATGGTATTACTACTAATTTATGATTAAAATTCATGTGATTGAATATTTGACTATTTAGCAGTCCACGTAGCCATAAAATGGAAGATGAAATGATTCAAATTTCATTTGATTAATTGATATATTTATTGCCCAGAATTTATATCGTCTACAAAGCTACACCTCAGTTTATATTAGATGAATGATAAAATGAACTGTATGACTGTTATTGATATTATAATAGTTGTATTAATGATAATCTATTATTTTTTATAAAGTAAACATGATTAATGAATTTATTGTAAATAAAAAAATTTATAAGTAAATGAAAGAGATAGAGAGTCATTAACTTAGGAAATAAAAAAAATATAATACATGGAACAATAATTATTATAAAAATGAAAGTGTATGAAGAGTCATTTGAATAAAAAAAATGTGAATATATAATTAATATTAGGTAATTAAAAAATAAAAAAAGTGCAATACATGGAACATTAATTATTGTAGAAATGGAAGTATATGAAGAGTCATTTGAATATATAATTAATATTAGGTAATTAAATAAATAAGGCTATAGGTGACTTTAATATTTTTTATAGGAACATAATAGACAATCAAAAGTTTTTCACTTAACATCCTTTTATTAGTAATAAGTATAAGTATAGATAGATTTGGGGATGGACTGACTGTTTCCAAATGGTAGGATCTGTTGAAATGCACTAAAAAAACAATGTCCATTTATAGCACATGTTTGTACAGATTCATATATCCAGTACCTAGCTTTAATGAATGTAAATTCTCGTGTCTTGTTTTACAGTCTCATCCTTAATTTACATTTTGAAGGAAGTCCTTTATTGTTGAGGTATTTTTTTTTGGTTTTGCGTATCTTCTTCTTATTAGCTTTTTGGTCTCCTTTTCAATGGATCTAGATGAATCTGTTGGCATTACAACATGGAATGAAGATAAACTCTGGCAGAATGGAGGCCATCAGGCTGTATTACCTGTGGATGAAAATCCATCTGTGAGAAGTGATATTGAAGATTCAAGAGAGAATTTATGCACAAATGAGGGCATCAATGGTGAATTACAAGTTTGTGGAAATATAAATTCTGTTGCTGCAGTCAAAGAGCAAGCTGAGGTCGAACAGCCAGTTTTAGGTGCAAAATCTGAAAGCGACAGTCCAAAAGCTGAAAGGCTATCTCGTGTTGTACCTCTAGCTCTTGATGAATTTAAGAACAAAGCATTTAATTCTAGAAGTAGGCCTGTAAGTGGTTTGGCTGGAAGCATAATACACAGAGTGGAGCCCGGAGGGGCAGAATACAATTATGCTTCCGCTTCAAAGGGAGCAAAAGTCTTGGCTTATAACAAGGAAGCCAAAGGTGCCTCCAATATCTTAGGCAGAGACAAGGACAAGTATCTTCGGAATCCTTGTTCGGCTGAGGAGAAGTTTGTCATCATAGAACTTTCGGAAGAAACCCTTGTTGATACAATTGAAATAGCAAATTTTGAACATTACTCGTCTCATTTAAAGGAGTTTGAGTTACTTGGCAGTTTGGCTTATCCCACTGATACCTGGGTTAAGCTTGGAAATTTTACAGCTGGAAATGTGAAGCATGCTCAAAGGTTTGTTCTTCAGGAGCCAAAATGGGTGAGGTATCTAAAGGTAAATCTATTGAGTCATTATGGTTCAGAGTTCTATTGCACACTGAGTGTTGTTGAAGTGTATGGAGTGGATGCTGTTGAGAGGATGCTTGAGGATCTTCTTTCTGTTGAGGTACCAGGTGGTGAGCAGAAACCAATGTCCACCCAGTCAGTATCCACTGAGGGTGATCTGGATCAACATGTTGTTGATGAAGTGGATTGTGACCTTGATCTTGAAAGGACTGATGTCAAACGTGGAATTACAAGTACTGATGTTCCCGACCCAGTAGAAGAAGTCCGTCATCAACAGGTTAGCAGGATGCCTGGGGACAGTGTTCTTAAAATACTGATGCAAAAAGTTCGGTTGTTAGATTTAAATTTATCAGTTTTGGAACAATATCTGGAGGAACTAAATTCCAGATATAGCAACATTTTCAAAGAGTTTGATAATGAAATAGGAGAAAAAGGAGTTCTTCTGGAGAAGATCAGATCAGATATAAGGAGTCTTTTGGAAAATAAGAAGGTCTTGGTATGTGGATTTCTTATTTTGACTTTGGAGGTCTTGTTTTTCGTAGCAATTGGTTTGATATGCTAGAACATTTTCTTGCTTTTGCAGACCAAAGAGGTTGGTGATCTTTTATCTTGGAAATCACTTGTTTCCATGCAGCTGGATAATTTGGAAGGGGACAACGCCTTTCTCAGGTTACTTTCTTTTCTTGATTTTATAGTTCTTCTAGTGAAGTATGCTGAGCATTCAGCATTTGCTTGCAGATGAATTTTAGTTTTTACTGAAATACATTTACGTTTTGGTGTTACTGAAATACATAAACATTTTATGAAAAAATTAGCATGCATTAGAAAACAGGATTGCAGTACTAAAGTGAGCACCAATATTTATAGTGGTTAGGTTACTTCAAGGCAACCTGTGTTCACTCCCTACTAGCTCGGTTGGTGTTCAACTCTACTGATTCTAATTCACAAATACAAACACTCATCCTATACTATCAACATATGGTTTTCAATTTACTAACCACTAACCCTATCCTCAACTCCTCAAATAACAGTATCCTGGAGGTAACAAGCTGGTGACAACACAATCCTAAGCTGTGTAGTGTATGAGATGTCAGTTGCTTAAGTGTACACTGTACAGTAAAACTCTACAACTGGCAATCAATATGGTGGGATAGCAAAAGATGATTACATATAGACGTAGTTCGTCCACTGGACCATATGTTGCCACCGGAAACAGGTGATACATGTTGAAGGTCTCCCTTTCACTTCTCAGAGTCTCTCACTAAAACTCTCCTAGGTTAGGGTGCTATATTTAGTGGTCAAAATGGTCTGTAGAGGAGTATGGGTGCTTTTAGAGAGTGAGGTCTAATGGTAAGATTCTAAACTTAATTTGAATTTTGAATGATAGAAAGTCAATTGGAACCTTTCAAGTTTACTGCCTGCTATATTTTGCAGTTGTTTTGCACCTTTTGAGGGTCTGCAGTTGCTTCCTGTTGCTCCTCAGTTCCTCTATTCAAATCTGTCTAAATTTCAGGTGCGAATGCTTGCATAGTAGGGACATTCTGACATTAACTTAGGACTGTAGACCTTTAGGACAGTCTTCAAGCTTGACTTCCTGTAGGTTTCAACTTCTTCTGCTTCAAGCCTGATTACTTCTGCTCTTCAGATCATCAATGGGTGAGCTCTACATTCATATTGCCAATTCTAAGCAAAAACTAGAGGGAAAGGGAAGAGACAAGAGGCATAGAAGAAGTTCCTTAGAGAACATTTGTAAGTGACTTAAATTGAAGAACACTTGACTTTGCACGATTAATAAGTTAAGCCACAGTAAGAAGTACATCTCCCTAATAGGATTTATAAACATTCATAACAAACATCAAATTATGAGCATTCTCAAAAAGTTGACCTTTTTTGGGCTTTCTTCAACAATACTGTTCTGCTTGGGAGAACTCACACAAAGTGGATTGATGAGAATATAATTCTTATTGAGATGAACAATTCATTGCTTATGTACCTAGCCCCGTTATTGTTCCGAATAATCCAATGCTAATGAGGAAAAGTTTTGAAAGAAGAGAACACTTACTTTTAGTACCAAGTAAGTAAAGCCAGGACAAGAATAGCATTCGTAAAAGTGACAAATCAATGATCACTAGAAATAGACACAACACGGGTTGCTTCCTATAAAGCTGAATGAATAACCAAGAAAGGGGCAGTGCTTCTACTGTTATTACGAAGATAAGATATGAGTTTATACTTTATAGTTGACAAATTCACAAGTATCATAGACAAAATATTTCTACTATACTTTTTCACTAGATTACTAAATATTTTGTTTTCTAAAACACCAAAAGAAGAATGGCATAAGCATTTATGCAATTGTTGTACTAGTTGAAGAGCTGAAACGAGAGTTTGGCTAGGAAATCAGAAAATACTTTTGCGTCCAAAACATAAAGACCACCATGGGTTCTACTAGTGCCAATCCTTCTCTCTGTTTTTAGTTCCTGAACGATACAATGAGTTGAGAATCATATTACTAAACAATTTACTTTTGTGATTTGTGAGACTACTAACAGATTGAATTAGTAGAGAGATTCAAGACATGAAGACTAGATGAGAGGGATATGTATGAAAAGAAATTAATTAAACCTTTCTCAGAAATGAATGACGAAGATTTATCTACCACTTTTACTTCATCTCTTCCAAAATGTGTAGAGTGGGTTGAGAAAAGATTATAATAACCTCTCATGTATTAGTGGCTTAGAATTTATTATCCAAGGGCTATATGAGGACAAGACATTAAACACACTACCAAATTTACTTGTGTAGATGAAGAAGCGTGAGTTGTAGTAAGATGAAACATCAAGCCAAGCTATCAGTCGCCTAAGAGTCTATGTCGCATCCTAAGAAAATGTGCTAAAGATGCTGCTTCCAGTCTATGTAGTACCACCTTTACTACCACTGTGTCCACGAGGACATTTATTCAGCTTCCAACGAAACCCTTCGGTGTACCTAGTCTTTCCACACTGATTGCACCTTTACATATGGTTGTCAATAGTTCCATCCTTGTTAATAGGGTTGGTCTAGGCTATTTTGAGATCACTTTGAACAATAATAGCTAAACCAAATTGTGTCGAAAATGGAAGCATGAATCAGAACATTTCTCCTGCTCTCCTTGTGCAAAATAGAGGTATTACATATTAACCTTTGGCAAGGTGGGGAGTGGACCATAGCCAACAATCTGAGCCTGAATTAGATCATTCTCAATATTGAGACCAATAAGAAATTGATGAACACATTTTTTCCTTGCCATCTTCTTGAATTTTGTTGAGTCACTCTTGTAACCTACCTTGAAAACTTTGGTGGTACTCAAATTCCTACCATGAGGTGGTCAACTATGCAGAATGGCTTGAAGTGTTTATTCTTCTGGTTTGTCTCTCGAACTTTCTGTGAAAGGTTTTATGTCTTACCGTTGTTTGTCCTCTAGCTTGTGGGAGCTATAGTAGCTCAATACTTATGAGTTGTATCAAGGAATACCAAATTATAGAATGTTGCATCAAGTTAAGAAATCAAGATATGACTAGGGCATCTTTCGATGGCCACTACTTGAGGAATGGATTTATCACAAGGCATCTTGGTTTTCGTGGTCGGATATCCATCTAAAGAAATAGCTCAAACTGATGAAAAGTAAGCCAATCATACCAAATAGTTGCTTCCGCCTAGATACTCTATGCTAATTTGAAGAAAAGGTTGTTTGCAATAGTCCGTGGAAAGGTCAACCCACCTCCACCAGTACTAGTAAAAGTATAGGCATTGTCCGACATGTCCGCACAATTGGAATAGTATAAAAAAAGAAAATAGTCACTAGAAACCACATCCCAAGAATAACTTTAAGCTGTTGGTGAGTAGGTAACAATTGTTAAAATTAGTTGCACCATATATTAAGGATCAATTCAAACTGAGCAACAAAAAAGCTCAAAAACTCAAGATTTTACGTTCGGTCTTCTAGGTCTTACTTGTCCAACGACTTCAAAAATAACAAAAAAATGACCATAATCCATGGAAAATAGTGATGCATCAAGCCGTGCTTTTCCAACTGTGACTAGGTGTTTACGAACATCACTAGGTTATATACTAATTATGGCACAAAGTGAAATCTAGTAGACTGATTACAACTGGTTTTGATAAGTCGTAAGAGTCTTATAGAGTCATGGAGGAGTAGATATCTTTGCTTGCTATTCTAAAAGATTCTTTGTGGACTCAAGAGTCTCTCGATAAGAGAGGGGGTTTGTAAGTTTCTCTCGTGTAAGTCCTTTTTTGATTCTCTCATTGATGGTACAGCTTGTCCTTTTTCGATCTTGATTTGGAAAGCTAAAGTGCAAGTGTTTGCATGGCCTACTGCACCTGGTAACGTTAATACTAGTGATTTGCTCAAGAAAAGTAGACCTCATACTTGTTTTTCCCCTTAATGTGTGTGTAATGTGTAATGTTGATTCTCGGAACATTGATAATTTGTTTTTACATCGCCCTATTGCTTTATGTTTGTGGCATAAATTGTTTGCTTTTAGGGGAATTGAATCAAGGTTCAAAGTATCGGTCGAGTTCGATACGACTTGGTCTCCTCCAATACAATAGTGGTACGCTATACGTGAATATCACGAGCCCCACCCGAATCAGTGGTGACTCGATCATAACTCAGTGGTATCGGTCGGACTCGGAGTTATATCGTTAGGAATTGGACAACACGCATCGGACCTTGAACGATTTGGTGAGAATCTTCAGCAAAATTTGCTAAACAACGCAAAGAAAAAAGGAAAAGGACAAGAAAAAGATGAAATCCACATAAAAATATGTAATATTTCAATCCCTAAATCGCAAATATCCTAGGAAAATTCACCCTTTTTGCAAAATAGAAGATGATTTGAAAGAATTGGGAAGCATACTTGGTCCCTTCTTCAAATCTTCTTCTTTTTAGCAAAAAGTAGGCAAGGCACCAGTGACCTAGATCGCTCCTTCCCGGCGATCGACTACAACGTGAGCCTTTGATCGTACTGTCTACGTTCATCTCTCAAATTCAAGTGCTCTCTCTATTTCTTTGTGATTGACGAACGTCCAGTCCCAAGAGAGTCAAAAGACTATTTGTCGATGCTCCTTAAATATTAGCTCTCTTTTATTTTTCTTTTTGTCATCTCAAAAGCTGCCTCCAACCTTTGTTTTTTTTTTTTTTTTTAAAATTTTTAGGTATATTTGAATTTTTGGATCCTTAAAAATAAAGTTAAAAATTACGTTTAAACTTTGACATATATGTGACGCCCCAAAATCTGAGGATCCTTTCTCAACTCGTTGATCACCCATCAATCCACGAAAATACCCGTATATGGTGCATAACCCGACACCACGTTATCACACGACCCTTCCAAGGTCTAATATACATAAGTTTGTCCTTAGTATTTCACCAATTACATTCTTTAAATAGAAGATTCAATAGGTGAAGGCTCGGCAAGGTCATATTTCAAATTTCAGTTTTTGTGAAGAGGTACTGGTACCTGAGTCCACTACCAATGGGGTACCAGTACCCGTGAGCCTAGGTACCAGTAGCTGAGCTCTCTAAATGCCAGATACCTATGAGGTACTGGTATCTAGAGCTCAAATCTTTTTTGAACTTCTCCAAATCAAACTTTTAGTCATCCATTACATACCACACTAATTCCATTCATTCTTTTTACAAAAGAACAATGTCCCATTTCATCCCTTTGCTAATGTAAGGTTTTATACATGATTTATATGAGAGCAAAACAAAGTAAAAAAATGGGATTCACAAGTCCGCCCAAGCTTGTCCAACAGTTGAAATATATATTTCTATAAAGGATGAGTCATGCTCAATAGGGTATCTCCTAAAGAGGTTATTCCCCAACCCAGATGCATATGAAATGATGACATGCAATTCATCAATCAAATCCAAGACTATACAATTCAATAATGAATATTATAATGTTATGTCATGTTATGAGGTGAGACTCACATGTAATGTTATCCGAGTCCTCCATTGGCTCCCCTAGTACATGCTATGCTATGCGTATGTATCCGAACATTCTAAGTCCATGTCATTGATGTTACACATCCAATCACTATTTATAAGTTCTGGGTTTTTCTTGGAGTGGGTATTTATAGACTTCTAATAAGCACTCAACTGATACGACATAGACTTCTACCAATAAGCACTCAACTGATACGACATTATGGATTTCAACCAACGGCTCTGTGTATGCCTACATACTTTATGGACTTAATACTAGCGGAGTGTATATCCAAATTACCGGGTCTTACACTTGAGGGTTAATCTAGCCCTTCTTACTAACTCCGACCCTTATTTTCAATACAAGTCGTGCGACTCAATCGAACTTTGGTCTAACTTCCTTGAGCCTACGCATCATCCACCAAGAATAGTGTTTGATTAAAACCATGCACACACCCACACTCATGTCACATGTCCATAAATGCAATGTTTTTCGTGCATATGCAAATATAATGTACAATTGTAAATTCCATGTCATGAGCACATTATGAACAATATTTTATCTCAACTAACATTCTTAATTGTCAATTATATCATAAGCATATAATTACAATTTATAATATCATCAAAGCATGTTATATCAATTTTATTCAAATAACATGCTTATTCCATTCAAGGTATTTTATCAAACACCCAAAATACACAAAATCATGTAAACACATAACATGCCCAATTCATCATATT